AATGCTTTTGCATATCATAGAACAAACCTTTTTATTTGAAACAGCTGACTAAATTCTTTTATTCCGTTTAAATATGAATACTCATAAGGTTAACATGGGGAACTACAGAGCCACTGGGGTGGAGCCCGAAAGGATTTTTTAGATAAGAATATGCCTATATGTTAATCGGTAATGTAAGCTATCATTATGCCAAATTTCAGCCCAATCCGTCCAGTATTTAATGCGTAATTGAACTGCAAACAAACAAACACACAAACTTTCACATTTATAATATTAGTAAGATATAAATTCTACTGCATCAATTGCTAAATAAATAAGTGTAAACAAAGAAAATTAAAAACAACAACATATAGTTTGTGTTGGTAAACAGCCGAGTCAAAAATCTATATATATATATATAATACGCTAAGCCGATTTTTGTGAACAGAACTCCTCCCTCATTTTTGGACCGATTTTTATGATTAAAGTGTCAAAATAATTGCCCTGATCCGTAGTTTTGCAAAGTCTTTTTCGTTTTTTGATATCTTTATTAGTTTGGACAAGATCATCCATCAAAGTTGGATTTTCTCCCATAAGATTAACATGGGGGAATCTAAATATTTAATTGAAAACTTTGTCTCCACTAATTTGAGAGAACGGCTGGGCGTAGAAACTTGGTAGAGGTGTCCAAAGAAAGGTCTTGGTCTGTAGATGAGTTATCAAAAGAAAAACGAAGTAAATTCGATTAGGTCTCTGTCCCAGAAGCCTTTAAAGATCCCTCCACAGATTTGTTTACATTTTGGTCATGTGGATAATACTTTTTAATAAAACAGCTGTTAATTTTAAAATTGTATTTTAAACAACACACATTTATTGGGAGTTACTGAATAGTCCAAAAGAAGTATTTGCAATGTTATTTTCTGATTTTAAACTGGATTTTCTTCTGTATCATGCCATGTGTTGAAATATAACGTCCCATTACGAAATCAGTGGAAAATCCTTTTTACCTACGACCGTTTTTTAAAGTAGCCATTTCAGTCCAGTTCTTAGAATTGAAAAGTTTCACTTTACAGCTGTTTACTTTCATATCAGCATAGTTTCATTTCATATCAGCATAGTTTTTCTCATATCCACACAGGTAACGGAACAATGAGGTTCAAGTATTGAGAGGAAAGAATTAAAATTGTAATGCTTCGAACGTCAACTAATCAGCTGATCAGCTGATCAGTTGACCAATTTAATTGTTGATCCGACTTGTTCATGTTGATACTCGCATATTCTTAATTAAGTTGGTGAAAGTCCAAAAATAAATGAAATATTTGCTGAATTGTACCTGATACAATATTATTTATGGTAAGAATGCTGCTAGCAATGTAATATTTAACGAAGTTTAACAAACACGTAATTACAGGAAATCAGCTGATTATACAACAAGTCGTTGCATCACTTTCAGTGACAATGACAATACACGAAAACATAACCTCTCTAAAAAGTTATCAGTAGTGATTGTTAGTATTTAAATACAGATTGATAGTAATTAAATAAAAAACGGTCGTAGGTAAAGTAGTGTACGCAACTCGCGTTAATAGTCTTTACGACACTCGTAGAAGTTTTTAGGGCACTCGCCAAGGCTCGTGCCTTAAATTTTCTACTCGTGTCGTAAAGACTCACTTAACGCAATCGTTGCGTAAACTACTATTACACAATAGACAATTATTTCTCATTGAACTATCTTATATCTAATTTACGGGTTGGTGTCTGACTTTTTCACACCTTTTCCCTATAGTTTGTCATAATATTCTAAACATATCATCATGGTTCATGAGATTATTGTCATACATGCTTTCAATCGTTGGAAAAATCGTCGATGGTGTAATACAATACATAATAATACAAGCGCAGAAGAGCACGGTGCCCATTTGAGCCGTGTCCATATTTTATTAAATTAATAATGGTTTACAGCAACTGGATAAAACATTTGACAATATTTATGTAGAAATATGTGCATGATTTAGAAAGTCATTAAGCTGGAAAACTGCAATATACTGCAGATTTTTCAGAGAGGTTACTTCGATGTATTCATTCAGCTTAGGGAAAACATAATAATGTATAGATATGTATATAAATAAGAACTTGGAACTCTTAGAGAGCCTTTGAATGTTATTAGACTAACGAGAAGGGTTGTGCATGTTTACTAGCGCTACTCGGCAACAAAAACCATTTAATTTATCTCTAAACTATAATATATTCTTAAAGTGCACTGAGCAGCCTAAAAATCTATGTAACTTACCCATATAATATAGTTACAAAATGCTCAAACTCGCATTGTGACATTTATAACTCGGCTTATATTTCTCTAACAGAAAATTCATCCGCAGTAGAATTTTATTGTGCTCTTACCATTTCTAATAACATCCAAACACAGAAACCTTGCCTAAAATGGTACCTATGTTGACAAATTATTTACTGTGGCCTATATTACGGACCGTGGCCCACTGGTTTGGTAACATTATTGAAAATAACACGACATTTTGGCTGTAAAAATGGCACAATGAGTAAATACTATTTAATCAGCTACTGTCATGACGGAAAGTCGTGTTTATTTCAAACTAGATCACATCATACTTTATAAGATACGTTGATTCACAATGTATGCATCAATATTTACGTAACAGACAATTTACATTATTTTTGTTTTTTGGAAATGCTTCATTACTATGTAATTCGCATTATTTTTTGCCAATGAAGTTGCACGCCATATAAATTGGGAGGCCAATAACAGTTCAAGAATAAAAGCCAACATTACTTCAAGTTTATTCCACTACACCTAACATTCCGTAGAAAGATTATATTGACAACTTTATGTAATTGATAAGGCTGAGACAACTAACTGACATCCCCCATTTCTAGGAATTTCAGCTTTAACAGTAACCCCAAAACCAATTTCTCAAAACTTCAAAATTTTAAAAACGTAATTAATATTATTATTGTTTTTACGCTTATTAATCTTTAAACAATGCTAAATGCTCAAAATTTGTATAATTTCACTCAATTTATCGCAGTTAGATGAATTAGCGTAAGCCTTGAAAGTAACCGTCGATTTCGACGGGTTTCATCTAGTAAAATAATATTTGTTTGAGCAAAAGAACTAGTCACATGTTGAAGGAATAAGCTTTCTTTTGAAAACTCGTGAGGTTTGATTTGTATACAGGTATACAGTAACTGCTAGACTTCAAAAAATTTAAAACTTAATTTTTTTTAAAACTGATGACTTAAACTAAAATTACGGCTTCTGCATTCCCTAGTTCTCAAAATTATTTTTCTTTCAACACAAAAATCATGAGAATCCGTTAAGTGGTTGATTCAGAATCGTTATATAAAAAACCTGTCACTTTCAGTCTACATCCGTTCTTGAGTTTAACGTTAAAAGGAGTTTAAAGCACTATATCTCACTTAATAAATGGGGGAAAAATTTTAAAAACCATTTTTTCCATTCTTATTAATAGCTTAATGAATTGGTAAGAAAAAAAATAAAAATAAAATATTTTTAAAAATGGGCCAAACACCCTTAACAAAAACTCAATTGAAATATCAAACAAAAACACAAAACATATGTTGAACAGTTACCATATGTTATTAACATATTAACTACTACTGTCAATTATATCATCATTCTTTTTATTACATGTCTTGGTCTTTATTTTATAATATCAAGAAAATCATACAAATGTGTGAAAACCGGCCAAACGGCACCGGCGGGAGCAGCTTCAGGTGAAATGCTGGATCAGTGTGCGCCCAGCCTAAGCAGTTCCATTTGGTAACACAGGATTCCAACTCCCACGACACCGGGCGACGCCGTGTCGGTGTCGTGTTGTGCAGTATGAAAACGGCCACCTGGCGGAGAGGGGGATCATACCCTCCGTCGCTGTTACCTCCCCTAGATGCGCTAAAAATTTCTCGCAGGTCGCTATCTATCCGGCCAACCTATAGTTCTGTCCGGTGCACTGTCTGTAGAGGTCGTGTTTTGTTTACAATTTGTTTCTTGTTTTCAGTCATATAACCTCGTTTAACCAAATAAAACGTTCCAACCATAACTAACAACCCTTCCCTTAGTTATATAACCGAACAGTAGAGAACAAATCATGAAATGAACTATAAAATAATAGAATCATAATTTTGCCGACAGTAGCGATCAGTGTCACCGGACATGAACTTAACACAAAAACGAGCTTCATAATTTACAATGGGATGTGAAGTCTACTTGTGTTGGTTATTCTATGGCAAGACTATACATTTTCCGCCCTCATAATAATCATAAGAATAATAATAAAAAACTTACTTCTGTATATACATTCATTTTATCAAATACATTGCTCTTACTCCTAATTATTCGTAGGATACGACATTATGGTACCGATACGGTGGTAGGTACTACACTTTCGGCAACACTGGCCAACAATCTTCGTTCTTGGCTCCCATTGGACGGTGTGCGAGGCTTCTGATTGGGAGTTAGCGAGTTCCGCCAAGGGACCGAGTTAGCGACTTCTGTACTAGGACGGAATTCGGTCCCCCGGCTCTAGAGCGGGTTAGCGGGTTCCGGGGTTAGCCAATTCCGAAATCGAACAAGTTAGTGAGTTCCTCTCATCAACCAAATTTGAAGATAGTGCGTTTAACATGGGGTTATCCAATTCCGCGGACCGGTAGGGACATTGACTTCCCCTAAACCTAATCCTCAATCCAACCTTTAGACAGCTAACAAAACAAAGGCTAATTAGTCTTGCATAACAATCGTGCTCAATGAATGCATTTTGGTATCAACTCTATCTGACGTGCAGAGGCTGAGAGTTACATCTCACACTTTGAACTAGGCCTACTAGTACTGTAGTTGAGGACCAATTATTTTAATACCAATGTTATTGACAATTGAGCTTATTGAAAATCTTAATAAAATATTTAACTATTTAGTTGCAGTTTAAGTAAAGACTTTAAATAATTGAAATGAGCCAATAGAAAATACTTACCAATTGCTTTTCCTGGAAATCCAGCAAGTAAGCTCTCTCTAGCTGCTTTGACAAAGTCATCTTTGCCAATCCTCTTAGAACAGTTTACTTTCAAAACCTACAGATCAATTATTTGATTAATTAACCAAATCATATCAGAACAGTCCTTTGAAAGTATGATCTATCTCTCAAAAGAAGTATTTCTCAACTTTAAAAAAATTTTAGCACTAGCTGTGTGCCCGTTCTACGCACGGAGATCTTATAGTAGTCAGTTGAAACCTTCTTATATAAAGAACAGCAGTTGGTTTGCATATTTTCAGGTATGCTGGCCAAACTATTATAAATAAACAAATACAGTATCTGACAGTTTTAAGTAAAAAAAATCTATGAGGCATAGCCCTAAAGAAGGCCTATAATTGAAAGCTACTTTCCACAAGGGTTAAAAGTAGTTAAAATACTACCTCAACCTCACCATTAAACATTCCGGTTGAAATTTTCACTATCAAAGGTGCTCTTGACCTATCCGTACGGAACACTGAGAAATATGCGCTACCAACTAACAGACATACACACAAAAATACAGGGTTTTATTAGGGAATTTGCTACGCTTTAACCAAAGCAAAGTACATATACTTTAGTGTCACCAAACTTTTCTTAACAATTTATATTTGCTTAGTCCGAAGATGACACGAAATGATGTCGAAATGACGGTTTACTATATGAAATGAAGTACTGTACTAAATACGATTTAGTTTAGTAATTTACAACATACAGGCCACGAACTATTAATACATAAACAACGTAAAGCGTAAACAATTGACGATGGTATGCTCAACAAATGTTTTACTCAAATGCGTTATCATTTTCTTAGCACAAACTAACATTTTGGAATCTAGACAGAAAAAGCAAAACTATACAGTAAGACATCAATTAAATTGAATACGGCTGTAATAAATAAGGTGCAACACCAACGATAAAATAATTTGTAAATAGTGATGTGTTGGTACGTAAAAATGATTCTCGCTGCTACCACCGGTTCTAAGTAAAAGATCTAGTACCAAAAACCAAGGTTTACAGTTAAGAACTATGGTACATCCGACCAACTAAACGCGTAAATCAAGTCCCGAGGTAATTGATCTCTCTTGGTTTTGGAGTTTCTCACAAAAAGTTATCGAAAATCAAAGTTATTTCCCATTAATTGCATTATTTGTACAAACTTTTAATGTAAACATATCGGTGATAGTTTGAAAAAACAACAACATTTTGTTATTTAATAGAAGACGTATTCTATAAATCATGTTTGGTTTATAGAACAACATTAGAAGGAAATGTGAAAAAATCACACAATATTGGGTTTTTGAACGTTTTAAATTTATTTCTTAAGTAGGTAAGCCATGTATTCTAGGTAAAAGTACCGGTATCAAGGATTGTCGTCGAAATTTGGTTATGAATAATTATTTAGGCCTACAAACCCAAGAGATGGGCAATTGGTCTATTGGCTGTATGGTCCATTAATTGCAGCACATAGCGGTGAGAAGACACATTGGAAAAGCGAGTTGAGCATAATCCGTAAACCTCTGTTGCAATCACCCACTGCAGTTGTCACTTTACACTTTACACAAACGCCATTGAATAGCCGTCAATGAGTTGAATCCTTTTTTGTAAGCTATTGGTAACGCTTATTTAAAAAATGTTAAGTTTCCCAGCCATATACAAAACTGATTCAAGGTCTTTTTCTCTATTTTCATTTACAGTTACCCTACACACTATTGCACTTGCAATTAATTAAATCCATTATGTAAGGAAAAACCTTTTTAATCTCACTTGGTTTTGGATTTGCTTTCAAAAGAAGATCGGAAATGGTTGCGGTATTTGTAAACAACATTCAATGTACAAGGGGGTACCCAAAAATAACTGGAATTTTGTTCCGACAAGACAAATTTCGTTCTCTTTCATACAAATAAGTTTAAAAAAGATCAAACCCCTAAAATTACTCTAAATAATAACCCGATCAATCAAGTGAAATCAACCAAATTTTTAGGCTTGATAATTGATGAACATCTAAATTGGAATGAACATATTAAGTATTTGGTTGGTAAATTTAATTCAGGCTTGTTTGTTTTAAGATCAATGGCTTATCTCTGTGATAAAGCTGTGTTAAAATTGATATACCACTCGCTTATAGAATGTCATATTGGCTACGGAATCCAAATTTATGGTGGGACAGTACAACAAAATTTGAAAAATTTGAAAAAGGTTTTAAAACTACAAAAACAGGCCATTAGAGTTATTGAAAAATTTAAGGATAAGAAGTCGGTGAAAAAGTACTTTAAAGAAATGAAAATTTTTACAGTGTATGGTTTGCATATTTTTAAAACTATTCAGCATGTTTATAAAGATAAAAACAATGAAGTATCCCATAAATACAATACAAGGTGGAAAAATCTTACTGTAAAAAGTCATCATCGGCTGAAACTTAAAAAAATGAAGCATTCGTATATCGGCAATTTATTCATAAGAAGTTTGCCTGCTTTACTAAAAAAGATCAAAACAAACCCAATTTTTTTAAGAAATTAAAATCATTTTGAATTAATCTGGCTCCTTATAGTATAGACGAGTTTCTAAATCAAAAATGAATTAGCTATACATTCTAAAATAATTGTCAAATTGTATGGTTAAGTCTTTTAGATTAAGTTGCATAACCAATTTTGTATGCGTTGACACTATTCATGTATGTAAAATGTATAAAGTGAATAAAGATAATTTGATTTGATTTGTTTAAAATATACATATATTTATTTTTTTACAAAACAACCTTATCACCTTCAAAGTACTCTCCATTGCACTTTATACACTTATCCCATCGTTGTTTCCACGGTTCGAAACATGCTTGGAACTCCTCTTCAGTAATGGCTGCCAGTTCCTCCGTTGTTTTTTTTATTGACATCATCCACGCTGTTAAATCGGAGACCTTTAATGCCCCTTTTCATCCGTGGGAATAAAAAGAAGTCGCACGGAGCCAGATCTGGTGAGTAGGGTGCGTGTAGTAGTGTAACCATGCCATTTTTGGCCTAAAACTGGGCAACAGAGATTGCCGTGTGCGCAGGCGCGTTGTCGTGGTGAAAAAACCAGTCCCCTGTTTGCCACAAATCAGGTCTTTTGCGACGGATGCTGTTCCGTAGTCTTCTTAAGACTTCAAGATAAAACACTTGATTTACTGTCTGGCCTGGTGGAACAAATTCTGAATGGACAATCCCCTTCACATCAAAAAAAACAAATGAGCATTGTTTGGACACTCGATCTGACTTCTGACTTGACGGCATTTTTTTGGTCTGGGTGATGATGCCGTCTTCCATTGGCTGGATTGGTGTTTGGTTTCAGGGTCGTACCCATAGAACCAAGATTCGTCACCTGTGATTATTTTGGACAAAAAATCTGGATTGGCTTCAAGTTGCTGTTTCAAATCACGGAAGGCTTCAATTCGACGTTCCTTTTGAAAGTCAGTGAGAGCACGAGGCACAAACTTGGCGGCAACCCTTTTCATGTTCAAATCTTTTGTTAAAATCCGTTGAACTGAGCTCCATGATAGCCCACTAGCCTCTGATATTTGCTCGATAGTCTGTCGTCGGTCTGCAAGCACAATTTCTTTCACTTTCACAAGATTTTGGTCTGTTCGTGAAGTCGATGGTCGTCCAGAACGAGGTTTGACCTGAAGAATTGACATGTCACCATTTTTAAACCGAGAAAACCACTCGTACACTTGGGTTTTTCCCATAGCGTCGTCTTTGTAGGCTGTCTTCAACATTTCAACTGTTTCAGCGGCGTTTTTGCCAAGTAGAAAACAAAATTTCACAGCTGCACGCTGTTCACTTAAACTTGCCATTGTAAAAAACGACAAAATCACAAAACAGCACTAGCAAAAACTATTACTGCAGGGGACAGAACACGTCAGGTCAACGCAACAGGCGGCACTGAACTGGCTATAAGCAGCGCTACATGAGCCAAGCGGTGAGAATTTGTACTACGCAAGCTCCGCCCACGGCAAAGCTATTCCAGGAACTTTTGGGTACCCCCTCGTAAACATATCAGTGACAGCTAGAAAAAATTATCTCGATCCGAACAGTTGTTTGTTATTTCATAGATGATTATGTTGGGAGAAAACTTGACAAAAATTGCACAAAATTGGGTTTTTAAACGTCCGTAATTTTATTTACAAAGTAGTGAGGCCATATTTTAATAGCTAAAGACACTCTCGCCAATACAGTGAATACATTAAAATTATTTGGATTTTGATAGGTATTCTCGTTTTTCAGGAGCAGGCCGCGTAAAATAGCTCTTGGGCCGTGACAGACAGACAGACAGAAATTGAGATGAGACTTGTTCTTTAATGTGTAAAACGTAAAAATAACCTAAACATTTATGGTTCTGAGAAATGGACAAAACTCTAATTTTAGCGAATTTCCCCTATAGGGAATAAGCTATTACCGTAGTACTCATGGTAAGACCTGGACCCGGGACAGATTTACTTTTTTTTGTTTTGAGGTTCCTAGAGACCAAAAACACCATCCGTTCAAATTCATTTATATATATATATATATATATATTAAAGAAAGCATACTAACTCAGTACCCTGGAATTATTTTTTATTTTTTAAAACTCTACATGTTTCGACCTTTAGGCCATTTACAAGAGTAACATATTTAACCTCACTTTAAACACAATAAATTGACTATAAATTTCAGGGTACTGAGTTAGTATGCTTTCTTTAATATTTAGTACCTGGGGACCGAGCTTTGCTCGAGAAACTAAACATTAAAGAATAAATAATAATAAATTTAAGCTTTAATTTAAAATACCTTATGTTACACGCTTTTATAGAACAAATTGTCCTAATAACAACACCGTGTTATGGTGTATATTGCATAATTAATGAAAATATTTATTGACATCAAATCAAGAGTTAAGTATTTATTTTATCCATACAAAAGACACTTTAGGCTTGGATAATGAGTAGTTTTAACGTTGAAGAATCTTTTGCAGCCCTTGATTGGGATTTCCATTGACAAATATTTCCTGGATATTTAGTTTTTGTTTTGGCTTCGTTTAGTTGTATTACTTAGGCCTATTCACACAAAAAGGTAGGTAGCCTAGCCTAGTTTAGGAGAAAAACCCTTGACACTTAAAGTCATCTTGTGTATGCCTACAGATAATATAGGCTATAATGCTTAAGGATAGATAGCTTCCAGAGCAAATTCAAGTTTTGACGTTTGTCGTTTTGTAACATTTGTCGACACACGAACACAAACATTTTAAAACTATTTAGGCAGTTTAGGAGAAAAATCCCTACACACTTTTCAAAATCATCACAGTCTTGGGTACAGATAACATAGGCTATAATGCTTAAAATACAATAGATAGCCTCAACTCTCCAGAGAAATTTCGAGCTGGTGACATTTGTCGGTTTGCAACATTTTATGACATGCGACGCATGCTTTAACTTGGGATATGTTATATCATATCAATTTGCCAAACTTAGCTCAGTTTGAAAACGTATAACCTATTTAAGTAAAGTTTTGTAGCTAAGCCACATAAGGCTAGGTATAGCTCGACTAAGGGGTAAACGTTTCCTGGGTTGATCCATGTTGGTGAGTACCAAAAAGGAAACTTAGGTATAAACATGGTTGTATATCCAAGTTTGGCTGTCCTCGATATAGGCCTAATTGCACTATTTTATTGACACTGACAAATAATAGGCTAGGTTAATTGGGAGTTTATTTAATATCTAGTCCTAAACTTATAGCCATCTTAAGGCATACATAACTTACACCACAGAGAAGTAATATAAACACTCATCCTCTGTAGGCCTAATAAAGCTACCTATATTTTATTTGGGTTAGGAAATAGGATTAGTAATTTTTTGAGAGTTTCATTATGTACTAAACACACCTAGATAGTGTATTAGTGATTCATGAAATTATCCATTTATAAAAAGCAACCTTACCGAGTTACCTAATGATGTACCCAGTGCCAGTACTTAAAACAAAAATTAGGGCTTAAGGCCTATGGATATTGGTTTCAAAACATAGCAGGATTAGGCATTTTTAATCTAGTAGCCATTGATTAGTGTGAATAAACAAAACATGGATGAACAACCAAGTTAAGCTAAGTTACTAACCCAGTTGTTCGGGCTAGGATAACCTGAAAGGATCCATCTCAACAAGGCTTAAACTTTAGAACAAATCCTAGTGTTTGATCTATTTTAAATTTTATTTTTCTGAAATAGATAGCTAAATTATCCAGTGCAATCATCCCACACTGCTAATTGCAACACTCTTAGTTAGTGCTAGTAGTAAGTTAGGTTACAATTAATTATTTTCCCTATGACCGATTCAGTGTAACATCAGTCAGAATCAGACGACATTATTGACAACGACATGACAGGACAACCAACGAAAAGAGTAATTTAGTGATGACAATTATTATTAAAACCATTAAAAATATAAAAAATAAGATATATCGCTCGTTTATATTGGCAAAAGTATTAAATAAACAGTAATATAGCTGAGGCTGAGGCTAATATAAGAATAGTTTTTTCATGGATTAGAAACTCATTACTCTCTAAAGTTTTATAATATAATACAAATTCTTATACATCAAACGATTTAATGAACTGGAGCAAAGTCGAGTCGTTCTCTTTCTCTCTGTCACAAGTTGACAAAATTGTATGTCAGAAGCCAATCAATGCATCAATACACATCAGATTCAGAAGAACAGTCACCTGGACCTCGGAAAGTGCGTCAAGAGCTTTCTGCGCATGCGCAAGCTGAGGTGCCCGTGGGTACAGAACGTCACGTTATGTCTTAAAATGTAAACAAAATTACAATAATGGCGGAATGTTTTCTCATAAGGCCCATGTTAAATTTTCAAAAGTTTGTACTCATATTATGGCGAAAATAGATTTTTCCTGGCTATACCACTGGTCTAGAACTTATTTTTGACATAGAACTTAGTTATTCCGTAAATATAAACGTTTTTGTTAGGGCCGATTCCCAGATCGAGTTGACAATTATTCAAACTTTACTCGTATTATATATAGGAGATAATAGTAGCCTTTTAACCAAACAATTGTATATATATATATATATATTTATATATGTGTCCGTTAGCGCGATAACTCAAGCAAAAATCATCAGATTGTGATGAAATTTGGTACAAACTTGTAAACCTACGTTTACTCAAACGAGTTCGCGAACGAGCATGATCAGACTATGGGAACAGGGGTTTATGGGGGGTTTTATGAGGCAAAAAATGGTTTTTCCAATTTTTTTCCTCTAAAAACTAAAAATTTAGCATTTTCTTTCCAAACCATTTTGTACAGCTTAAAAAAAAAACAAATAATTTAGTACATTGAAGCGTTATTATGCGCCTAAAGGTTACGGAGAAAATTCCAAAAAACTGTAAATTTAAAATTCCCATGTTATTCTTATGGAGAATAAGTAAACTGTTGTAGTTTGCTTGTTTATGATCATATTTTGATCAAATTTGGAAAATGCATTCATTTCATACTAAACTATTAACATTTTACAAAAAAACACCTTTTTACCCTCCCTGTTTCAGTAAACCTAAGTACTCGTTAAACTAATGTTAGGTAGGGAATAGGGAATAAATGTGATATTTTTAAGGAGAAATTTTAGTGTAAACCCATTCAGGCAAATGGAAATTCGCTTAGTCTGCAGGTTTGCTGAGGCGGGGGTGTTATTTATATAGATAAGTTCAAAGTAAATACTGATTTTCTATATAATATTGTTTCACTTTTTGGTGCAGGGGTTGAATGAAGAGACAGGGAATATGTTATGGTGGGTGACAGTTCATTTAAAACTTTATATAGGCTACTTATTAACTTATCATAAAATATTAGCTTGCATAATATTTTACCTGACCAGATTTTCCCTCACTGACATACAAGTTGCCCATCAAAGCATAAGTGGATTCAGAGTCAGGAAGTGTTAATGCTTCCATTTCATCTCCTTTACTTTGGTCTTTCAACTTAGCAATCTGTGTAAGACTGCGGACTTGGCTGTTCTTCACCACTAGATTTGCCACCAGCTTCAACACATCATACAGAGTTAGGAAACACGGATTACAAGTTTGTCAATGAGAGGTGTGATATAACATCAACTAGAGTACATTTAGCTTGATAAAACTGTTTAAATATACTGCATGAGAAGGATGATTGAGCGGAGCAAAGCGAAGCTCTTTGGGATCAACTTCAATGTAAACTTTATAACACATAATCAGTACCAGATTTACCACTTTAGGGCCGCAAGCAAAAGGGGGCCGCAGAGGTTTGAAAAAACATTTTTTAGATAAAAATAATTTTTTTAAACCATTAGTTTGCCGCGATTGCAGGTGACGATAATGATGTCTCCCTGATTGTGGACCGAGGGAGATGTTCACGATTTCGCCGCGGCCGCAGGTGACGGTGATGTGTTCTCATGATCGCAGCCCGTGGGAGACGTTCAAGATTTAGCCGCTGTCGCGAGTTTCGATGATGATGTCCCCGTGATTGATGTTCAATATTTCACCACGGTTGCGGGTGTCGATGATAATGTTACCGCGATTGCGGCCCGTGGGAGATGTTCAAGATTTCACCGTGGCCGCGGGCGTCGATGATAATGTTACTGTGATTGCAGCCCATGGGAGATTATTTAACACGATTTTGCCACGGCAGTGGGTGACGGTGATGATGTTCCCGTGATTGTGGCCCGCGGGAGGTGTTCACGATTTTACTGCTGTCGCGGGTGACGGTGATGATGTCCCCGTGATTGTGGCCCGCTGGGGTGTCACGATTTTACTGCTGTCGCGGGTGACGGTGATGATGTCCTCAAGGTTAAGGCTCACAGGATATGATCACGATTTTGCCGCGGTCGCGAGTGTCAGAGATGATGCACCTTTGTAGCAGCCCGTGGGGAATGTTTATGAGAGGATGTAATGGTATGACATGTGATTTAGTAATTATTTGTAAGTTTACTCATAAGACTATGGTTACCAGGGGTCACTATGTTGTTGACTTGTTTTTAAGCGAGTTGTTCAGTTAGTTAAATGTTGAATAAAAGTTCTTAGAAGAATCTATATATTTAATAAGCTAGGCATATTTTTGTCATAATTGTTTTGGAGTGGTGGAGCTACCGATCACCATGTCCAAGGTGTTGTTAGAAAGGTCTTAGCATGTAGTTTTGCCATCAAACAAAATAACTTTGGAATTCCATCAGGGCTCTGCCCCAGTGGCCTTCAAAGTTCTCATTTTATTCTTAGGGAGAAAATGTTTGTTTTCATTTGAACAGATGAATACTTTGAAATTGACACTAATATTTGAAACAGCTGGTTATACTAAAATGTTGCACAAAATCAAAATATAACAAAAAAAACGTTCAACATAATGGAGACTATAAGACGTTGACCAGGACGGCCAATGGGAGGAGGCCGACGAACTTTAACTGGTAGACGCGAACGAAATACAAATAATATTGTTGTTGATAGCGGAATACAAAGTGTGCTCTCCAACAGCCACCTGAAGATTTCACATTCAATTTAGGACTGGTGGATAATCGCTGTATAAGCTGTTGATTGGAAGACAAGGAGGTGGGTAGGACTACATCGGAAACGGAAGAGAGGAGATATTAGATGAGTGGCAAATGCGTTGGGAGCAGAGTGTTTTAAAGGTAAACGTTCGGATGTATAGGTACCTAACATCAGAAAGAGACTGGAACAAGATTGGGAGATGGGCCATTATGAAACGCAATTTGTAACAGGACATGGAAAATTTAAAGGCGAATTTGTGAAGATTTCACATGGTGGAAGAGGAAGTAAGTAGATGTGGAGAAATAAAAACCATGAGTAACGTATTTATAAATTGTTCACTTCAGGAGACAAATAGGAGAGAACAGGAATAAGTCTTGGATAAGATAGGTCTAGAGATGGGAAAATAAAACATATGATGAGTGACAAGAATGAATGAGAGAATGAATGAATGAATAAAGTGCTTTATTTTAAAATAAACATTCCCCTCATAAACATAATCAAACACTTAATAAACAATGGTCTACGACCGTCTGTTTGGTTGACACACCTGGAAAACACATTTATGAAAATGAAGTTGAAACAAAATACACTTAATAACATACACAAATGTACATACAATTTTACATCCATTTTTAAACTAAACTTAAAAAAAAACCTTTTTCATAATATTGTTTACATAACTTGTATTATTTTACTTTTAAAATTATTAGGTTTTAAAAGGTTTACGCATAATGAAATCTATAAAAATTACTATGAATATTCAAGAAGACAGGCTGACAATTTATTTGACATATTTATTGTTTTGCTATAATTTATAAATTAGAAAGAGAAAAAACAATTTTGAATTTGGAAAAAAAACTTCACTTGATTTATTCGTAATTAAATTCTCTAATTAACTCCCACCTCCTTCTCCACGCCTCTCTCATAAAGTTTGCTAATTTACGCCAATCCCTACCATTTATGTATTCTATGTGTTCGCCCCAATGCATGCTTCGTTTCCCAAACCAATACTCTCTGATATCACCAAAAATTGGGCAAATAGAAACAAAATGAAAAACTGTTTCAAATTTGCGCAAATTGCACAGACTACAAAAATGATTTTTATTTGTTATCCATGGTTTGTGATTCAAATCAACCAGCTCGGCTCGGGCCTTAATGACCCATGAGATAAGATTTATATTGATGCTATCAGTGAGAAAACTCCTGGGCCCTAGGTCAAGGTCAACGGCAAGCAGTTGTTGGTGATATTGCGATGTACGCGCTCTGCCAACCATATCAATTCTCCAGCTATCTCTTTCCGCCTCAATTATCTTCACTAATCCCTCAAAAACATCTGCTGACTCGAAATTAATATCCAAACCGTGTTTTCGCCCTAGACATTTCCACTCTTTGGCCCAAAAAATACCTTTTCCAATTACAGATTTAGCAATAATTTTAGGTAAGCGTGATTCTGGCAAATTAAAAACCTTAAAAATGTATGTTGCGTTAATTTGTAGATTAAAGAAATATAACTTTTCAAAACATGTTTCTAAGTAAACAATATAGTTGGGAGTGTTATGTGGCAATCTAAAAATCCTTTTAATAAACGTTTTCTGAGCATTTTCTAACTGAGAAATTTCTGAAAACCCCCAAACTTGTGCGCCGTAACACAAAATAGCTCTGAGAATAGATTCGAAACATAATATCTTAATATGCAGCGGGACTTTTTTGTTGTCTACTAGCCTTTGCCATACTGAATTAATTGCATAATTAGTTAGCCTCCTCTTCTCTATGAAATGTTTTTCCCATGACAATGTCGTTGTAAACAACATTCCCAAATATTTATAACTATCTACCACTTCAACCTGTTTGCCCTTATACCACCATCTATCATGTCCCGATAATCTACCACCTTTCCTAAAAACCATTATTTTGGATTTAGATAGATTTACTGTAGGGTTCCAAATTGCACTGTAACACTCCAAGTTTTTAATCATCATTTGTAACACTGTTGCTGTGGGGGCCAACAATACGATGTCGTCTGCATACATCAAAACATTTACTCTCTTTCCACCGAAATTACAGCCACCTTCCAGCACCTCTGGCAAATCATTTACGAATAAGCTGAACAGGAGAGGACTTCCTATACATCCTTGTCTTAAACCTGTCTTTGTCTCAAACTCATCTGAAATGCCGCCCTTACACCAAACCGCTGCAGATGTGTTACAATAATAACTCCTCAAAACATCTAAAACGTGCGTTGATACGCCGATTGATGAAAGTTTTAATATTAGTGATCTTCTATCAATAGTGTCGAACGCACTTGAAAAATCCACAAAAAATGCATACAACTTACCACCTTTCTCCGCTAAACGTAGTTTGATCATCGATGCCAAATTAAAAATATTATCTATAGTGGAATAGTTTGATGAGTGACAAGGAAACAGTTGAGACGTTTAGCTAGAGAAATAGGAAAATCCAGGAATACATACAGGCGTTAAAATTAAAAAAAAACCAAGAAAGAAAAGGAATGAAAACTTGCCCATGAATGGGAGAGGAAAGGTTAGAGCGAATCTCAAGGATCCCTATCGCTCAAGGCGGTATGGGGAAAGGAGTCGTGCTGTTAGGCTCTTGGACACATAATGTGTCTGGAAACCTAATGCGGCTATGAGTAAGGCTATTTGTAGAAAACACTATACACAATAAATGTTGATTATATCGATCTGTTAAGTACATATTGAGTATTTCCATCATCTTTGAGTCAAATATTTTAAAGTCATAAGAAATTAAGACTGTTTTTCGTTTTAAAATAACGCCTGTAATACTTAGCAATTGCTCGAATTCGAGCAACAGGTACACTAGTTTGTTTTATTGTATCTTTACACTAAGCAACCTCCGAATTTAAAGTAGTAAATAAAACTGAGTTAGTTATATTTTTGTTAAACTTTGTACAGCTAAATATAGACTTCTCCTGGACCAATTTTGTTAACAAATGAGTCATTGGAAAGCCTAACTCCTATAGATTTACAAATAATTATAAAAGTGTGATTTTATTAAATAATTGTGGTGAAAAAGTGAAATTAAAATAAATACATTAAAAACTGCTATTTCAAATTTCTGTGTTCAAGTTTCAATTTGTAATTAAAAATAAATTTAAACAAACAAATTTAAAAATTACATCCATCAAATAACTTCCTTCTCGAGCGACGCATTCTTGGAGTCGGTCCTTGAGGTTCCGCATTGCTCGCTCAAGCACATCACCAGGAATTGATGTGATTTCGTTGTGAATTGCAGCCTTCAACTCCTGAATGGTCCGGGGTTTGTTCATGTAGACCCTTGCTTCAGGAGTTGAAGGCTGTAATTCACAACGAAATCACATCAATTCCTGGTGATGTGCTTGAGCGAGCAATGTGGAACCTCAAGGACCGAATCCAAGAATGCGTCGCTCGAGAAGGAAGGCATTTGATGGATGTAATTTTTGAAAACTAACTTAACTAATTTTTTGTCCATAAACTTCCATTGTAACTAGACGTTTTGCACTTTAT